GCCTAGGCATGGCCTAGTGCGAATCCTGGTGGTAGTAGCAACCATTCAAATGATAACTTTGAAGGCCAAGCGGACAGAGATGCTCACACTCGAACCCTCTCACGACAACCCGCGGATGGTGGTGCCCCCCCCCCTCGCGGGAATACCCACGCCATTCAGCCTTCCTTCTGCCTTGTGGGCTAAACACCCATCCATTCACATGCACGTTGAACCCGGTACACGCTGTCAATGACGGCACGATGGAGGGATCTCGCCAGCATCCTGAACATGGGGACCCGTCAAAGGGCCCGTACTCAAGGTCCTCGACTGCCGTGATGGTCATTAGGTCCGGCGCCTCGTCCAAATCAATGGCCCGTCGGAGTACATATATAAAAAAAAAAAACAAAAAAAAACGACACTAGAATAAACTATCTAAAAAACGTCACCACCAATCAGGTGTCGCTACTAACAAAACCGAGGGGGGATAGCCCCACGGCCCTTAACCCTATCGCCTTCCTCCTCGATGCTCCGCTGCCGCCGCGTCGATGCTCGCCGACCTCGATCCTCGAACCTTCGTAGTGTCAGTCCAATGTCGTAACCTATAAGGTAAAGCCCAAGCCTGAGACCCACGTCCGCAGAGTACCATACAAGACGGTGGGGCGCAGCGCTTTGGGCCAACAAACCGGCTGCGTGGCTCCCAGTGTCCGCGCCGGCTTGCTTATACCATGCCAAAATTGCCCCGCGCGCCATCCTACGACATCCCGCTTACCGCACGAAATCGCGCCGTTATTGCCGATGCCGTCGTCGGGGTCGTTCTCCGCACGCGCGCTCGACTCGGTCAATTGTACCAATCAAAAGAAAATATCCTTAATTCCTGCTTAATCAAAAATAAATAAATAATAATATCACTAAGCAAAACGACCGAGGTCCGGACCGGCTTTACGATCAACAACAGAAAAGAATCACACGCGCCTTAAACCTGCGCGCCCACGCACTCGCTATTGTGGTCAACCACCCAGTCAACACAATTACAAACGCAGTCGCGCTTAGCGCGGTATACTTAAACTTTAAACCAAACAATTTTCTGTTAATTGCAAAAACCCAGGGCGGATACCCTTGTAAGGGTATTCCCACCGACAGCTTACCGGACCATATTAAGCGACGTCCCCATCGCTTCGCCAAATCAGAAGACTATAAATTCATCCACACTCCAAATTCTGACGAGACAGGAGCCAATCCGATTAGCCGACAAACACAGGGTAGAGGCCTCCATCAAACCATGCCTTCATAACTATATGTTGCCAGGTTTCTAACCTGGGCCTCACACCGTTCAGAAATTAGGACACTGGCAACATAAGTTCCAAAGACCTTCCCAATCGTCCTCTCCCCGGTCCTAGACAACCTTCGGCTTTTCGTTGGGTGTCCCCAGTCCTGGCAAAACTAGGGACGCGGGCCTGAATCGAGACCTTTTGAAGGCACTCTCGCCTTCCTTCTCAAAATTTTCTCGCAATCAAATACACGCAAGTATATATGTATACTTAATATTCGCTCAACTTTTTCTGCAATCTAGTACAGAAAGGCTAGGTCTCCACCTTGGCCCACCATAGCCTGGCTGATCGGACCAGGACCACAGCCCACTGCATTGTTATTTAACGGCAGTACCTTTGTTGGTTACGCAACGATAGGTTTCCTCCTTGTAAGCACTCAATCAGGATCTCCCCCCAAAAATTTTCAACCATCATTATCCCGCGGAGTAATTTCATTGGGGCGGGCAACCCCCCTTAGAATCTTACCCCGCGGTCCCGCAGCCAGGTTGCGCCGGCTAGCAGCCATCCAATAGGGTTACGCCCTAGAGGTACTAACTTCTTTTCCGTTAGCTTGGCCTTTCTTCAATATGTCCCAGAACTAGCACAGGCGGTTAGACGGGGCGTCGCAAAACAAAATCACAGGCCCACTGCACGATACGCAGGGGTCCGAAAGCATTTACCATCCCTCCTTCAATAGGCATGGCATCGTTCGCACGCTTACAAGCAAAATCACCGCTAAATTCACCAGGCCGTGACCTCTGACTTGATCAGAGTCAGCAGCCACCCACCCTGAGACATCTCTCGCCTTGTACTCATTGCGACTTTCTCAAACATTTCAAACAAAAAGTGGCCCTTTCCGTCAGACTTTATCACCCATCAAACAATTCGTCATGCCATAAATCAATTTACTCACTTCTGAGGATGAGTCTTCCAACCAAAAACCACTC